CTTATTTGCTGGGCTGTTTGAGTTCTACTGAGGAAGTCCTTGCCTATACCTATTGCTTCCAGAGTATTCCCTGCTCTTTCCTGTATTAACTGCAAGGTTAGGGTCTGTTATTAAGGTCCTTAATCCACTTTGAGTTGGTACTTGTGCAGGGTGATAAACACATATCTAGTTTCAGTTTTCTGTAGACAGATATCCAGTTTTCCCAGCAGCATTTGTTGAAGAGGCTATCATTTCTCCATCATATGTTTTTTGGCACCTTTGTCAAAAATAAGGTGGACATAGCTGTGTGGATTCATATTGGATCCTCTATTCTGTTCCACTGGTCTTCATATCTGTTTTTGTGCCAGCATCATGCTGGTTTTTTTCCTCTTTTTGCTCATTATTGCCTTGGCAATTCACTGGATTTTGTGTTTCTAAATGAACTTTGGGGTTGATTTTTCAATCTCTCTAATGAATGTCATTGGAATTTTAATGGGGATTGTGTTGAACATGTACATTGCTTTTAGTAGTATAGCCATTTTTACTATGTTGAGTCTGCCAATCCTTGAACATGGGAGATTTTTCCACCTTCTGTAGTCTTCTTCAATATCTTTCTTGAATGGTTTGTAGTTTTCCTTGTAGAGGTCATTCCCATCCTTCATTAAGTTTATTGGTAGGTAGTTGATTTTTTGTGGCTATTGTAAGTGGAATTGTTTTCCTATATTCTTTCTCAATCTGTTCATTGTTGATATATAGAAAAGCTATTGAGTTTTGTAAGTTGATTTCATATCCTGCTACTTTGCTAAAGCTGTTTGTGCTGTCTAAGAGGTTTTGGTGAAGTTTTTCAGGTCTTTTAGGTGTAAGATCATGTCTTCTACAAATAGGTATAGTTTGACTTCTACTAACCCTATTGTATTCCTTTATTTTTTCTTCCTACTTTTTTAATAGTTCTGGCTAGGAATTTCAAGACTATGTTGAATAGGTGTGGAGAAAGTGGGCACCCTGGTCTCATTCCTGACTTTAGGGAAAATGATTTCAGTTTTTCCCCATTAAGTATGATGGTGGCTATAGGTTTGTCATACACAGCCTTTATTATGTTGAGGTACATTCCTTCTATTCCTAGTTGCATCAGAGCTTTTATTATGAAATGATGTTGAATTCTATCAAAGGCTTTTTCTGCATCTATTGAGATGATCAAGTGATTTTTGTCTTTGCTTCTGGTAATATGGTGTATTACATTTAGTGATTTGCATTTGTTGAACCACCCCTGCATCCCTGGGATGAAGTCAATCTGGTCATGGTGTATGATCTTCCCGATATGTTGCTGGATTTGGTTTGCCATTAATTTATTGAGGATATTTTGCATCAATGTTCATTAAGAAGATTGGACTGTAGTTCTCTTTTTTTGGATATGTCCTTGTCCAGTTTGGGAATGAGTGTAATACTGGTTCCATAAAATGAGTTGGGCAGTGTTTCCTCCCTTTCTGTCATGGAAAAGTTTAAAGAGTGCTAGTATTAGTACTTTAAGGGTCTGGTACAATTCAGTGGAGAATCTGTCAGTTCCTGAACTTTTCTTTTTTGGTAGACTCTTTATTGCTGCTTCAATTTCATTGTGTGTTATAGATTTGTTCAGGAGATTAATATCATCTTGGTTCAATTTTTCATGGTCATATGTATCTAGAAATTTGTCATTTCTTTTAGATTTTCCAATTTATGTGAATATAGGTTCTCAAAGTAGTCCCTGATGATTCCCTGGATTTCCTTGGTGTTTTTTGTTATCTCCCTTTTTCTTTTCAGATTTTACGGATTTTGGTCTTTTCCCTCTTCATTTTAGTCAGATTTGCCAGGGGTCTGTCAATCTTGTTTTCTTTTTTTCCCCAAAGAACTAGCTTTTTGTTTCATTGATTCTTTGGGGTTTTTTGGTCTTTATTTCATTGATTTCATCCCTTAGTTTTTATTTCTCTTCTTCTGCTTCTTTTGGATTTAGCTTGTTCTTATTTTTCTAGGAGTTTGAGATGTAGCATTAGGTCATTTATTTGTACACTCATGGCTATTTTAGTCCTCTTTAAGACTGCATGATGTATCTCATAGGTTCTACTAGGTTGTGTTTTAATTTTCATTAAATTCCAGGAACTTTTTATTTCCTCCCTTGTATCTTCTATTACCCACTAATCATTGAGCAACATGTTGTTCAGCTTCCAATTGTTTGCATATTTTCTTCTGCTGCTTTTGTGGTTGAGTTCTAGTTTTATTGCATTGTGATCAGATAGTGTGCAGGAGGGGGTTATTTCAATTTTCTTATATTTGTTGAGCTTGCTTTTTGACCCTAAGATATGGTTTATTTTGGAGAAAGTTCCATGGGATGCTGAGAAGAATGTATATTGTGCTGTTGCAAGGAGGAATAGTCTATTGACATCTGTCAGGTCCATTAGATGTATGGTGTCATTTAGTTCTAGGATTTCTTTGTTGCCTTTTTTTATGGATGACCTATCTATTGGTGATAGAAGAGTATAACAGTCTTCCACTACCACTGTGTTGGGGATCTATCTGTGATTTAAGTCCATAATTATATGTTTAATGAAGGTGGGCTCACCAGCACATGTTCATTAGCACATGTAAGTTGATAATTGTTATTTCTGTTTGATGTATTGCTCCTTTTATTAGTATCATGTGACTTTCTTTGTCTCTTCTGACTAATTTAGGAAAAAATTCCACTTTAATTGATATAGGTATTGCTATTCCTGCCTGTTTTTAGGAAACTTTAGCTATAAATATTCTACTTTTCACCCAAAGACACTGTTTCTGTCAATTTGGTGGGTTTCTTGTAAACAAGAAATTGTCAGGTCTTCCTTCTTAATAGAGTTTGCCAGTGTCTTTTGATGGAGGAATTGTTTCCATTAACATTAGTGTTAATATTGAAGGTATGTGGTGATTTCTGCCATTTAGTTTTTTTGTTTGTTTGTTTAAGGATTTGAGTGTGTGCAGCCAATTCAAGGATACTCTCTAAGTTCATGTTTGTTCTTCTCATGAGGTTTAATGCTTCCAATCCTTTCATGGTTTTGTATGTTTTTGTTTTCTGTGTTTGAATCTTTTCAGAATCTTCTGTAGTGGTGGTTTGTTGGTCATATATTGTTTTAGTTTCTATATATCAAGGAAGACTTTTATTCCTCCATCAATTCTGAATAATAGTTTTGCTGGGTAGAGTATTCTAGGACTAAAATTATTTTATTTCAGTGCTCAAAATACTTCACTCCATGCCCTTCTTGCTTTTAAGGTTTCTTTTGAGAAATCTGCTGTCAATTTAATTGGTTTACTTTTATATGTCATTTTTTCTTAATCTCTTACAGCCTTCAGTGTTCTTTCTCTCTTCTCTGTGCTAGTCATTTTAATGATAATATGCTGTTGAGAGGTTCTATTTTCATCAAGTCTGTTTGGTATACTGGAAGCTTCCTGTAACTGAATTGTCACCTCTTTCTGAATATTTTGGAAATTTTCTGTTATTATATTGTTGAATATATTATGTATCCCTTTGTCTTCCACCTCTCACATTTCTTCCTCTTCTTCAGTGGCTGTAAATATCAGGTTTGGCCTTTTGATGGAGTCCCTGAGTTCTTTCATATTCCTTTCACAGCTCTCAAGTTTTTTGTCTAAGAGTTCTTCTGGTTTTTATTTAATATTATTTTGTCTTTGAGACCTGAGATTTTGTCTTCCACTTGTTCTAGTCTGTTGGACTGGCTTTCTACTCTTTTTTTTAAATTCTTCTTATTATTTATCTAATTTAAGGAACTTTTTTTTCAGGATTTCTGTTTGATTAGTTTTTCTGAGGTTTCCACATCTTTGCTCAATTCCTCCTTCATACCTTGTCCTGTCTGCTTTATTTCATAATACCTCTTTTGTTATAGTCTCCTTTCTTTCACTTCAGAGTTTGTTGAAGTCATCTCTGAGTTCTTTTAGTTGTTTCTGTGTCTTCTCAAGTTTTTTATTTGAGTTCATGACACTTTGAGTTCACCTACACATCCTGTTTGGCCATCTCTTATAGCTTCTCCATGAGTATCTCAATGAGCTCATTCATGATTTCCTCTTTGACATATTTTTGTGGACATCACTGAGCTCATCATCATATTTATCATCGTTCTGTTGGGGTTAGGAACTGGGTATTCATTTTCTTCATTTCCCCTAAATCTGCTATTGAATTGCTGGTCTTTTGAGGGGTGGAATTTCCTTACCTTCTCTCCATGCTTCTATTTTGTTCTGTGCTTCTATGTTATTTATTGGCTAGTTGGCAGTTTTAATCACCGGTTTTCTTTCCCTTAACTTAAATACTGTGCTGTGACAGGGTTAGTCATTAGCAAGGTTGATGTGGTATTTCTGTACCTACCAAAAATGTAGCTACCACACCCCCAAGTATTTTCTGAAATCACACAGTTTAGAAATTCTTATTTCCTCTCCTATCCATCATCTTGGATCTCTTTATTGAAGGTTATATTGGAAACCCTGCCACATACTCTCTTGCTCACTTTGTTTTCTGGCCATCACAAGGTGAACAGAAAAAATCAACTGCCATGTTGTTTTCCTTTGCCATAGACTCAAAACAAGGTGGCAAATGGAAACAGACTATATCTCTATAGCCGTAAGTTGAAATAACAATTATTACTTTAAGTACTTGGTATCATGAGGAAAAAGCTAACTCAGAAATATTAGTGTTCAAAAGTATAGGAAAATAATTTATCTCCAAAATCAAGCTTTTCTTGCAGACAACATTAGCATTCACAATCTATGGACATTTTTCTTCTTCCCTATCATCTCTCAATGGCATTTTTACTTTATGATTTAACAGCCCCAACACCTACTCTGAGATGTTCAACACTAGAAAGAAAGGATTGTTACACATGGAAACTATCAGCATGACACATGTGAAAATCTTCTTTCCTCTAGGACCTATCAGAGGAGCTGCATGATATATAGTTTTTAAATGTACATACTAATTTGTATCTAATTTAAATGCTTTTTTTCTTAGACAGTAAGAGTGAAAAGAAAACATATGATCTTCAATAAGAATGTTATCCTGTGACTCATCAGCTCATTCCTCAAACTGATGAAGTAGACTCCTTAAGAGATTGCAAAGAATTTACTTCCATAGACAGTGGCCAAGGAAGACAGTCCTGGTACATTCCTTAACTCTAAAGGTAACTACCTTCATGGAAATAATACTAAATGGTGTTTTCAAACTACTTAGAAGATATTTTGTTTTAACCCTCTGTAGGATCACCTTTGTATATCCCCAACTACAAGGAAATCAGTCTTGGAAAGGAGTAAATAAGTGAATTAATTTGCATGTTGCTCTTTTCTCTAGTCAATATAAAAGCTTACTCGTAACTGGGTGCTCATGGCTTGTGCCTGGGATTAGAGCTACTTTGGATACTGAGATTAGGAGGGTTATGCTAAGTGTAATGTGTTGGCAATGTCCTTGAGTGTTGTCTTTGCCAAGGAATGACATCCTACTTCTATTTTTAAGGAATGACTCTGGCTGCATGTGAAGAATAGAGAGGAAGGAGTGGGGAGTAGAACAGAATAGAAAACACAGAAATGACTAGGTAAATATTACTATAAGCCAGGAAGTAATTATGAGAGCTTGGATGAGGGTTGTGGACAAGAGAAAGGGAACACTTTCCTTTATGCCTCTTCTAGAAAGCAATACCTACAAATTGCACCTAGCACTGCCCACAGAAAAAGGAACTCATTCTCTGTGACTTTCCTTGAGTAAAGTTTTTTTTTTCTCTTCTGCTTTCTTTTTTTGTTAGAAGTAGATTTCAGAAGACATTAAAAGAGTCCCTTAATAACCTTATCATTTTAGCCAACATTTGAGCTACTTGAAGGAAAGGATTAAGAGAAAAATTGTGGGCAAGAGAGAACCAGTGATCTCAGCTCTTTAAAGATCCCTTGAACAGGATCCCTTTTAAAGTGATCCTTAAAAAGTGACTCCTTATTCTTTAAGGAAGGAATAGAGGAGGTTTTGGCTTGATGCACAAAACTTTGAGTCAAAGCTGAGCTAGGACTAGAGCAAGGTGAGCCAAGTGAGGCACCTAGAATGCAAATTTCAGCAAATACTCTTAGATTTCCTTGAGCCATAGTACCTCTCTTGTCCCATTCTATTGCCAACCCTGGTTGGTGTCTGGGCTTTTCACTTTCTCTCAGTATTCTTGAGTAAGTCTTTTTCTTCAATGTATTATATATGGTCAGATTGTTTCAAGTGGTACTAAGTTAGGAAACTGGAAATTTTTTTGCTGTTTCCAAATTTTTTAATTTTTATTTTATAATCTGGGAAAAAATGCTAAGGATGATCATACAGCCCAACTTTTTAGTTTTACCAAGGGAGCACATTGAAAATAGCATCAGTTATCAAAATGGTTTCTTTAGTGACAAAACAGACTAGTAAAAAGAAAATATAGACATGATATAAAAGACATAGATAATATTTTAAATTAAAGAAACATTGGCATACAAAATCACAGTGTTTATCTTTATTAGTTTATTTTAAGTAAATATGCCCATACTCCATTAAGAATTTTTAGTGGTCTAGTGTTTGGGAAGTCCTGCTGAATGATGTCAGTTTCCCTGAGAGCCTCAGACCAGCCTCATTATGCTCCACTTATATACAATGCCATTCACCTGTCACCTCTGTGGTACAGTCCTCAGAAATTCACAGACCCCTTAGTTTTAATCATTACTGTCTCTTCCTTTTATTCTTTCATTCCTGAAGTAGATGGAGTTTATCTGATACATTGGGGTTTTTTTCTGTCTTTTCTATTAGCTGGTTAATAGTAGCTGCTGCTGGCACCAGGAACAAAGCCTGCTGGTCTGTGCCTTCTGTTACCCTTGGAGCAGCGGGAGCACTGGGTCCTGCTTATACAGGTTTGCCAGTTTCCCTGGCGTTGGGGTGAAGGTAGCAGGTCATGTATTTGGTTGGAGCGTGGAGCCCTGAGTTCCCACGTGTGCCTTCAGGCACAGGGGATCGGGAGTGTTGAGCTGCAAGTAGCTCTTGCCATTCTTTTTGTGTTTAGTTTGTTCTCTATTTATGGATTTGAATAGGGTTTTATTTCTTGCTGGTTATGGGACCCCATTGGTGCCTTTTGGGATCCTCTGATCTTCCTTCTTCAGGGAAGTTAGGCACCACTGGGGTACAAGGATGTCAACAATTTGCCATCTTGCTTCTTCTCTGAAATTTTTAAAAAAGAAACTGAATGTCTAGAAAAAAACAGCTTACAAAGAACTTTCATTAATCAACAAATATCTCTGTTATGTTTTCAGGAAATAAGCAATGCTAGGAACTTTATTGAGACAGAAATGAAACTGAAAGTCTGTGTTTGGTATTGCCCTGGCCTGAGTTATAAGAAACCACTAGAGAGTAGAAGAAAGTGCTTTACTCACATCATTAGATTATGCACCATTTCCTCAGATCCCATCTGTAGTTTTTCTTAGCTAGATTTCAGAACTGATATGGAAAAGTGACTTCTCTTTACCGTTCATTTCCCCCCTTTTGAATGAGGAAAAGGTGAGATCAAAAAGAATTAACCTAGAAGGTAACACCCACGCACAGGAAATCAATGTGAGTCAATGCCCTGTATAGCTATCCTTATCTCAACCAGCAAAAACCCTTGTTCCTTCCTATTATTGCTTATACTCTCTCTACAACAAAATTAGAAATAAGGGCAAAATAGTTTCTGCTGGGTATTAAGGGGGGAGAGAGGGAGGGGGCGGAGTGGGTGGTAAGGGAGGGGGTGGGGGCAGGGGGGAGAAATGAACCAAGCCTTGTATGCACATATGAATAATAAAAGAAAAATGAAAAGAAAAAAAAAAGAGTTAAGTCAGGAACGGTGATGAGGAGCTTTGCCTGTCAAGCCAGAGATGTCAGACTTGACTCAACTGGCAATAGTTGAACATCAAGGTTTTGGTGCAAGATGGTGATCTGTGTCTTAGAAAAAATGTAGAGACATGGAAAACTGAATTGCAAAAACAGACCAATGGTGTAAGTCCAAGATAAAGTATTGATGAAAAATGAATGGCAAACAGCACAATAGTCCATCCCCCACACTGATGGATCCCCTGCCTATCTTTGGATGCCCCTAACACTTCCAGCTCTCAGAAGTACTTTCTCTAGCATTTCTCCAGGCAGAATAACAGCAGTCACTGACTCTGGTTGCCTCTGGTCTCACCGGTCTCTCTTTCAATTTCATGTTTTGAGAAAAATTTGAAGGACTAAGTTCCAGATTTGTCAGAGTAATGCTTTTTTTTCTAGGAGAGGTTTACAGAAACTGTATGGTTATGATAAAAAGCCCATAATTAAAACATAACAATAGCATTAAAAAAAAAAAGAATGAGAATGCCTGTAGCTATTACACTATGTCTGTCCCATCATTATGTGTTAGATTTGCTGGACACAGGACACAAATAACTTATATTGTTATTTTCTCAGTTCTGTAGATGCAGATTAACAGTGCTCCAGGAGAATATAAACAGATTCTACAAAGAAGTTCAATACATACTTAGTACTGATTTGAACAATGAGATTCTGGAGTTGAAGCTGAGGCATAATGGGAAGACACCTTGGAATTGTGTGTGGGGGGGGTTGTTTCTCATGAGAGGAACATGAATCATTGGAGGGTAGAGAGCATTGGCAACACCCAAACCAAATGTAAACAATAGCATTCTGCTGACAGCTAAAATGTTCATGCCCACCACATAATGTAAAATGCATTTTTCCATCCCAATAGTCCTATAGTCTTTTTCTCCCAATTTTAAAAAATAACCTTTTTTAAAAATTAAGGTATGCATTAACAGGAAACAAACACAGGTAGCAAATAAGAAGTCATCCATGGCCACAAGCCATTCAGCTGGACATGTCCCAGATCCCGTATGTACACAGCAACCCATTTTAGGTAATTGAGATTATATGGTATGTGTCATGCTTTTGCACAGGTTGTAAATATTTACCAATGCAAAATCCCAAAGCTGCAAGATTATTTTGATAACAAAGGATACACTGTACCAACTCAATCTACCCTAAAATTTGTAATTTTTCCTTCTTTGGGAACAAAATTTCCCTGAAGGCAGAAAGGGCAAAGGCCTCTGGACAGAAGTATTGACAGAGTTACAATTAAAGTACTGCATTCCCTTAATGCTCAATTTAAAATGAGACATAAAGCAACAGAGTATACTAAGCTTAGTTTTCTAAACATTTCATCTTCATCTCTATACTATTACAATATTAGCATGAAGGCATGTTCCCACTGAATCATTGTATCTCTAGAATATACTCACAAGATGCACATCTATCAATGGCTCTCATTGAATGTAAATCTGAGCACACCTTCACACATCTCTCCCTGCAGGTTTTTTTTGCCCAGAGGTGGCCTAACAATTCTTTGTCCAAGATGCATGTTTTCTGTTGAGTATAACTGATATTACAAGTTGGCTAATTCTCTAGCTCTACTCTTTATCATACAGTGTCACCTCAGGACACCTACAAAGCTTAGCTGCTATACAATAATGAATTTTGTGCATAATTAACACAGGTACTTTACCAAAAATGTGCATATACCTTTATGGCTATAATTGAAATAAGTCTTTTAGAAGTAGAGACACAAACCAAGTGCCCTTCCCTCACTGTTCCTCTTCTCCCTCTTTACCACGCTAGTGACTAAGTTCATGAAGTAAATAGCTCCAATGGGTAGATTAATGAAGGTCACTCCCAGAAGACAGCTTTTTATAAAAACTAACAAAGTGGCATTTTTTTTGGCAGTACTATGGTTTGAATTCAGGGCTTTGCACTTGCCTGGCAGGTATTCTTCCACTTGAGCCAAAACTCCATTATAAAAAGACATTAATATATGATCAATTCCTACTTCTAACATACACTAGGCATTAAGTCTTATACTTTAGTACCCAGTACTATTAATTAAAATATACATATAGAAGAAAGGCTAGAGAGCATGAAACAACCCAACAAGCACAGAACAACATCCCCTCTGCATACTTCCTTTCCCCATCTTTCCCCTGCTACCACGCACTAAACAGTCAGTACACTCTCCAAGAGCCACATTTAACAGTTCCATTCCCCAAATGCAACCATTGCTATGAAGTCACCAAAAATACTTCAAGGCATTAAGTTAGCCCTCTGTTTTTACCACATGTAGAATGACTAGATGTTTCCAATACGGACTTAAGTTTCCTACTATACACACAGTAGCATTGAATAAACTGCACATGCCTAAAAAAACAGCTACAATTTGAAAGGAACATTCTAGCCTAGAACTCTTCATATCTCTAACAAGTCAGTGGTCAGCTTTATGCATCTGCAATATTTCCCAGGGATTTTTAACAACTTCACTTCCTGACTGGTTTTAACAGTCTTTCCTATGAATTTCAATGTAAAGTGTACTAAATGTGTTAGTTTACTAACTCTGCTTTTGTCATACACTGGTAATCTTTTTAGCAATTGGAAGTCAGACTAAGTGTTGTAAATAGGACATGTCTGTCCTTTATATACACTATATACATAAAAATTGAAATGAAATGCATAGACAAAAGGATCAATCATCAATCTTCCTTTATCAAATGCACATTGATATAAAATCTTTGCATTTTCTCCTCCTTCCCTGAGCCAGCACAAATATAATGTGTACTGCTCAGAGAAGTTGTTTCATCATTTCATTTTCAAAAGACACTATTTCATTATGAATTTTTTAAAAAAGGTCCTCTGCAAACTGCATTATTTACTACCTCTACTTTTAACATTCTTTGTGCACTTCTGAACATCTAAAAAACTAGATGTTTCAAATAAGGACTTAAGTTTGTTCATTACATACATAGTAATGTTGAATAACTACACATATGTAACAGGATTTACATCTGAAACTGTCTTCTAAGTAGGAACATTCTATCCTAGAACCCTTCATTTCTACCAATCCTCTCCTATATCATATGTGATACAGATAATGGTCACTTATTAATGTTACAGTTTCACTTCAAAAACTACATTTCAGTCATTCTCATTCTCTCCTGAGATGACAGCTTTCCATCTATTGAAAATATATTCCTTTCCTAATAAATCTGACTTTCACTGTCTTTTCAAAAGACAGCCTTTACATGAATTTTAAAACAAAGCATACAAAATGTGCTAGTTTGTATACTATACTTTTGTCACACATTGGAAACCTCTTTAATATCTTGAAACAAGATATTATAAAATTAGGACTTATTTGCCCACTGTGCACACAATACACAAGTAGTTAAATAAAATGTGCATAGCATATAAGGTTATGGATGTGCTGAAATTTTCTAGTACATACTAACACAATACCTTTTACAGTTTCTTTCCTCCCACCTCCCTCAAACCAAAGAACAAGCCCGGACAAAATACTGCTCAGAGGTGGTTTAACAACTCTATTTACAAACACAGTGTTTCCAAGTTTTTAAAAAGCTATTTGCACATACTACTTATACTTTTAAGTATATCAAGCACTTCTAATTATCTAGGACTACATATTTCAAATATGAACTTGTCTGTTATGCACATATTACTGGTAAATAAAATTGCACACATAGAAATGATTATGGTCTGAAGTATCTTCTAAATGTGACCTTTTGGCCTTGAGCCATTCATTCCTCACTCCTTCTCTCTGCTTTCAAACCAGAGATAAGTACAGGCATTTGTAATGCTTAGAGATAATTTAACAAATTCAGTCCCACAGTCATATCCATTTCAATATTGCTCAAAAAGTTCAATTCCAAAGACACTCTGAGCTCAAGACAAACTCTTTCTTCTGTAAGCCCTATAAAAATCAAGATACAAGTTACATACTTCCAAGATTTAATGGCAAGATCGGCATAGGATAAATATTCTATTCCAAAAG